ACTGAAAGGTTGGCAGTTTGAACCCACCAGCCGCTTCGTGGGAGAAAAGACCTGGCGATCTGCTCCTGTAAAGATTACAGCCTAGGAAACCCTATGCGGCAACTCTACTCTGTCATATAGGATCACTAGGAATCGGAATTTACTTGATGGCACAACACACACATACACATATGAATATACATATGAATATATATATACGAGAACCCTAGAACCCTAATCTTTGGATAGTACAATTGGGGTGGCTGTTTTTGTTTTATTTATTACTATTTTTGCTCAACTTTATTTTCTGATATTTTACTACAATCTATATCTTACGTAATAAGTAACAAGATTTTAGGTTTATTTTAAGTTTGCACATAAGAAGGAGGTCCACTTCGCTTATCTGGGAGAGTCACTTATGTGGAACGTATTCCCCAAGGACACTGGATAAGCTGGGCATTCGTCCTCTTTGCGTAACTCCCTTAAAATGAGAGTGCACTGACTGCAGGGTGGAGGTGGGGACCAGAAGGTTTGTGTGGAAGACACTCTTCCATGCATTATCATTAGGTTCTTAGAATTTGTTGTCCAAGTCAACTGTAGGTTCACCTATTTATCAAAGAGGATTCCTTTCCCACTGAACTGAATTACAGTCCCAGGTAAGTCTTGTGATTAACCAGACAGTCTAGAAATCTGGGTTTTTCCCCCCACCAAGCCCCCATTTGGTACATTACCTTGCCAGTCTCAATGGAATCTCTTTAGAAATGATGATGTAATTCAGTGATGTTGAGAACCAAACAGAGACTTCCTTAAGATTTTAGAAATCCTCAGCTAAACCATAGTTTACCTATAAAAACCTGGCTCCTTCACAATCTGACCCTGACTCCCTGTCTCACCTGAACTCCAACCACTGGCCCCGTGGTCATTCCTCCCTCAGCTCCAGCCACCCTGGCTTCCTTGCCATTCCTCCAACACATCACGCCTGCCCCCACCTCAGGGCCTTTGCACCTGCTATTCTGGCCATTTGTAATACTCTTTTCCCCAGATAGCTACATAGTTAACTCGCTCACTTTCTTTGGATTTCTGCTCAAAGAGAAATCTTTCCTTATCCCCCTAGCTACCCCCTAAGCACTCCCTTATTCCCATTACCCTGTTTTATTTTCCTCCATAGTACTGACAACCTATCACACTATAACTACTTGCTTGGTTATATTGGCTGCCTCCTCCTCCTCTCCCCACTAGAATTTAAACTTCATGAGAACAGGGCTTTGTTTTGTTCGTCATTATACCACCAGCACTGGGAACACACCCTGGCACATAGCAGCACCTCAGGACATTTGTTGAATGAAGGAATAAAACACTTGAACTCCAACAACATTAACAGGCATTGAAGTCTCTTGAATAGTTTTGCCACCCCAAGTGCCTTTAACTATGCCCAGTTTAGGGAATCTCAAAAGCTTAACTAGTGGTAGTTTCAGTGGTCTATCTGGCTCACCCTCATAAGCAATTATCTTTGAACCACAGACCTAGGACAACTGGTAAGAATCAGACAGGGTACATCATGCACGTCACTGACTTCAAGCCTCAGTTGCGTTCATCAGAAGAACCGTGCCAAAATCTAAAAGAGCAAAAGTGAACTAAAAAATCTGCATCCATTGCCAGTTCACAGAGAGCCTGCAAATGCAATGTGTTTTATTTTAAAAGATCAAACCAATAGCAAACAAGATGGGACACTGACCTTGTGCAGACTCCTTAATTAGATATATCCAAGGGCAGCTTGACCTAGAAACCTCACTCCAGGCCTACTTTTATTTTTACTTTTTTCTGTTGTTCATATTTGGTGTTTGTTGTTGCATTTTGGTTTAGTTTTTTAAGAGTTGCTTGTGAAAAAATCGGACAGTTTCCATGGGATCATTTTAAATGAGCTAAAAAAGCCACCTGACTTTTCCCTCTGTAAGTCAATTGGTTGTATACCACTGTATTAGAGGGTTCTTTTTATCTTTTTTTTGCATTTGTTTTTGTTTTTTTGTTTTTATGCCCTGGTCATCCTCAGCTGAAAACATTGTGAAGAAACAGACAACAAATCTGTCTTGTGGAGTTCATCTACTTCTCTTCTAAGAAACAATTACATCTCTCATTCTCAAAGAAATGATGCCAATTCCTTCCAAAAGACAACTGCTTTGTTTAAATGGATAATACCATTGTCAACCCCAAAGGACTTTCATGAGTCTCACAGTGGAGGCCAGGAGCAATCCACTTAGAACATGAAGAAACTTCCCTGCCTGATAATACAGGTAATAAGATAATAAGAAAATCTCAATAGCACATTCTTCTCTGATTTGAGATATTCAAAGAGCAGTGTGTACTTTCAACACACACACAAACATGAAAGAAAGAAAGAAGAGTATTATGCACAACTGGCCACAGAGCAAGCTGAAGAGTATATGGAAATATACCAACATCTCACATTTCAGACTAACTGCAATTTAATCCTCAAATTATTTGGTTGGATTAACCTGCTCAGATGCCTTGACATAGACGATCAGGATGTGTTTCAGGTACAAGTGAACCTAATGCTGAACTTAGACCATGTTCCTTATAGTTTTGTTTTATTACTTTTACTCTCCTTACTCAGGTTTTCAACATAGGGCTTTCTAAAGGAATTCACCACAACATCTAACACCACCTCAAATGTCTACACTCTTTTATCCTGACACTTATGGCTACATTGTTTACTTCTTACCTCAAGGGAGTACTGCTAATTCATACTTGGTACAACAAAAGCATGAGTTAGCTCATCAATAGCAAACAGTTTACCATTTTTCCTAGCATCCCCTTCACTCCCTGCCCCGCAGCCTAGGTGTATTTGTGGATGCAGCCTAACTGTTGCCGTTGTTAGCTGCCAAGCTGGGCCCTTGACTCATAGTGACCTCGTGCACAATAGAATAAAACACTGCCCAGTCCCATCCCCATGATCAATTGCAGATGGGACCATTGTGATCCATAGGGTTTCCACTGGCTGATTTTCAGAAGTATATAGCCAGGCCTTTCTTTCTAGTCCATCTTAGTCTGGAAGTTCCCCTGAAATCTGTTCAGCATACTAGCAAAACACAAGTTTCCATCGACTGACAGGTGGTGACTGTGCTTGAGGTACACTGGCTGGGAATCAAATCCAGGTCTACACACAGAAGACGAGAATTCTACCACTAAAACCACAAAGGACCCCACAGCCTCACTGCCTGGAGATATCTTGCTTCCACTGAATACTAACTAATGCGCAAGTGATTTGACTCTCTGCACCTCAGTTTCTTCATCTATACGTACCTCACAGAGTTTTGGCGATATATGGCTCTGGACCTGGGAAAGAACCTAATATAGTCAATATTATTAATCTTTTTAACTACCAGTCAGAGAAAAGTTTGTGGACCAGTTTATCCTTGTCTGCAGCTTACTCTGAAGGGAGGCACTGAGCCCAGTCCTTGGCCTTATGAGTGCACACATAGCCATGTGAGTCAATAAAATCCAAGAACTCCAAGAAGCAACTAGACCTCACACATCCAAATGCTTCCCACTACTCTACCAGCACTCCTAAGGATCTTATCAACAGGAAACAAAAGCACTATACTACTATAATGAAGTGTCTGGCTTTTATTTTCTAATTAGAAAAGCCCAAAGATTGTAGCTCAGGGAACAGCTAAATATTTAGAATGCTAAAGGAGTTACTAAGACCCAGCCGCCCCCATTACCTTGTTGTTTACCCTGCTCCATACTATTACAGAAGAAAAAACTTTTTTTTTTTTAATTGCTGAGCTTTAAGTGAAAGTTTACAATTCAGGTTAGTCTCTCATACAAAAATTTATACATACATTGTTATCTGACCCTAGTTGCTCTCCCTATATTGTGACAGCACACTCCTCCTCTCCACCCCGGATTTCCCGTGTCCATTCAACCAGCTCCTGACCCTCTCTGCTTTCTCATCTCACCTCCGGACAGGGGCTGCCCATTTAGTCTCATGTATCTACTTCAGCTAAAAGCACACTCTTCACAACTAACATTTTATGTCCCATAGTCCAGTCTAATCTTTGTCTGAAGAGCTGACTTCGGGAATGGTTTTAGTTTTGGGCTAACAGAGAGTCCGGGGACCATGTCTTCTGGGGTCCCTCCAGTCTCAATCAAACCATTAAGTCTGGTCTTTTTATTAGAATTTGAGTTCTGCACCCCACTTTTCTCCTGCTACATCAGGGACTCGACAGAAGAAAAAAACTTTTCATGGCCAAACGTGCAGCAGTGTAGATGTACTTGCCCCCATTAAAACCTCCCTCTCCTTGAGTGCAGTCTGACCATTCTAGGGGAAAAAGAAGCTGCTGCATTCACGGATAAACCCTGCCTTGAGTTCATATCCCACCACAGGAGCCGAAACCACAGAGACCTGTCGGAATCCTTGCTTCTCGGGTTGCTTCCAGTCAAAGGCTAGATGCTCCTATCTTATGCTTCAAGAACTAACTTCCCTTTTTAGAGTTCTCATTCTTTCAATTTGCCAGCAAACACTTTCATTTCTTGCAATCCAACGTACTCTGATTAAGCACTCGTTCGCAGTAAGAAAAAAAAGTGACTATTTTTGAAAGAGAGAGGCAGTTAATTTTTGCTTACATATCTTGGCAGGTGAAATCCACTGCATCCTTCAGAATTTAAATCGTAAGCACGATGCCTGGCAAGTTCCATTTTCAGGCCACCAGTGGGCCTCTGTTTTATTGCTCCATTTAATGGCTTTTTTCCCCCTCATAAACCTTCAGGCTACTTCAATTCTGAGCCATGGCCAAAAGTGCTAAGCAAGACTGCCCCCTGGATCTCATCCACTACCTAAAGCCCTCACCAAAGGCAGTGACAAATTTTGGAGACTGAGCCATAGGGTTTCCTTTTCTTTCTTACTCCCCATCCCATGTCTCTTTGGAGAGGACTTTAAGGACAAAAGGCTCAGGACAAAAGCTCATTACTGACCACAGCACTCAAGCTTCCACACTCACCTGACCCAGGTCAGGCACGCTGTTGCCAAAACTCTCCCAGCCAGGGGTGCGAATATTGTTCCTCTGTGGTCAGCTCCTACGTATTTAGAAAGAAGAAAAGACTGAGTATAGAGGTCACGTAAGGTGGCTCTGTACAGAAATGCCCCCAATTCCAGCCTTCCACCTTCCTTAGCCTTCTTCCCCAGAGAGAACCGCCCCCCCCCCAAAAAAAAAAGAAAAAAAAAATCTTGGCAGGCATGTGGTTGGGATCACTTGGGCGAAGATAACAGGTAACTTCGCTGACTTATTTCCAGCCCAACTGACAAGTGTGCGCTAGACACGCACAAACTTCGAACGTGCTGGGAGTTGGAACTAAGGAAAGTGTTTGGCAGATCCCAAAGCACTTGTTTCTCCGAGCGGAGGCCAAGTTTCTGAAGCCCGCATCCTCATTCGGCATGAGCTTCATCCACACTTCATCCCTCACCGCTCTTCCTCGGTTTTCTTCCGCCTTTTAAAACCCTCCCCACTGGAGCCCCTACACACGTATTATTTTCTCCCAACCATGCAGCGCGAGGGAGGGCTACATTTTTAGAAAGACTGTTTCCTTGAGCCGACTCACGTATGACACCCCCACGCCCCCCTCCCCCCCCAAAAAAAAAACTATTTCCTACAGCTGCTGCAACAGTTTCAACTTGGGGAAATGTCATTCCAGTTCACAATGGGTAGCCCTCTATGCCAGTCTCCGGAGTCGAGGATTTTTTAAGCTCAAATGAGCTTTTTCCTGTGCCCCAAAAATGCCTGGAGTAAAAGAGCCCCCAAATGCACGCTAAGTGCATGCAAATCCATCGAGAACTCCCAGAGTGTGGGGCAAAAACTTCTGCGCCCGGGGGACAGTGCCAATTCCCCGCGCCCTCTGCCCGGCCCCAGCCGCTACCTTGGTGCCCGGGGAGCCACGCCGGCTTGGGAGAGCAGGGCGAGGAGAGGGGTTAGCAGCCTCTGGGTAGTCCCATGTCCGCGAAGAGGGAGCTCGTTCCGTTAGGATGGAAGCGGAACACCCACACCTCCTCTCGGCGTGCGCTTTCTCTCTCCACCCCCTGCCTCCTCCTCCTCCACCACCTCCACCTCCTCCTCGCCTCCCACCCCAGCTAGCTAGAGGAAACGCCTCAGCAGCACATCCACATGGTTACTGCACTTTGAAGCGGCTTATTGCTGCTTATATAGGCCAGGAAGCTCCCTGGGCAATGTAGTCCGAGTTCGGGGTGGTGGCGGCGCCGGGAACTGCGCAGAGGGACTACAAGTCCCACAATCCCTTGGGCTCCCGGGCTGGCTCTAAATAGACGCGCGGGGAGGGGGGATGGGCGTCCTGCTGGCGTCCCAGCTTCAAACCCGTTTTTTTGCGGAATGATTGCCAGACTTGTAGCTTGCTACCTCAACCATCCCTGGTGGGCGCCCCAGCCCCATGGGGACTTTCCTCCTCCGGCTGCCCCCTTTCCTTTGGTTCCAGGTAGCACTTGGGGCGAGGGGCAGAGGGGAAAGCAAGCTCGTATTTCTGCCTTGGGAAGTTTTTACAATCTGTTACCCACCTCCCCACCACCACCCCCCGCTTTGAGTCCCTGAGCGAAGAATTTCAGATATCCGGGGCACAAAAACGCCTGTGTTTGCGGTCAAGGATTAAAGGCGCGAGGTTGTCTTTATTTAATCTTCTCCGCCCTCCTCAGGTTTGCACAGAAAACTAAGTCTAGGAGCGACGGTCCACGCAAGCGGGGACACAAGCAAGTCTCTCGAGAGCACTTTTTTGAACCCGAACTGCGTGTCCTTCTTCGCCCCGCAGGAGGTAAGGAAACGCGAGCCTCTCAGGTGCACAAATAAAGGGGCCGTGTTGTGACTTGCCAGCGCTGAGACTGGGAGGCAGAAAATAAATACGAACTGTGTCGGTCCTGACCCTGCTTCAAGCAGCCCCTCTGTTCCTGGGAGCTTTAAATGCTTAAGTAAATAAACTGCTAACCATAAAAATAAGGGCTTGCGGGAGAGCGGCTCACACGAAGACGCGCGTCCAGGCGTGGTGCCCTCCAGAAGTTCGGAAGGGGGCGTCTGGAGCGAGATGGGTTTCAGCCCACTGCCAAGTAGTGACTAGGCTCCGACTTTTGGAAGAAGGGCTAAGGTAGGAAGCAAAGCCAGCCGGCTGCCCGCCCTGCCTCAGATGACGTGCATTCATTCCACACATGTTTTCCTGAATGTCTACTGGGTGCCAGGCGCTATGCCAGGCATTAGGGCATACTGGTGAGTCAAAACAGTGACAGCACCCCAGCAGGCACTGCCTTCAGCCGCGTAGGGCCTGCTATACAACAATAGTAATAATAATCCTGAAGGTTGATTTTATTGAGCCCAGACCACGTGCAATTTTCCTGCATCAGGCTATTGAATTTTAACAACCCTGTATAGGGTTGCTATGAGTCGGAATCGACTCGACGACAATGGGTTTGTGGGTTTTTGTTTTTTTTTTTTTTTTTGGTGGTGGTTGGTGCCTGAGAGTCCATTGCGACTCATAGCAACCCTAGACATGTTTATTATCTCTGTTTGACAGGTACAGAAGCCGAAGGCTCAGAGAAATCAGGTAACTTCCCAAGAGGACACAGTGAATTAAGTGGTGGAGCCTGAATTAGGTTCTAGTGCTTATAAGCATAACAGTTCTGGTGGCGCAATGGTTAAGCACTCAGCTGCTAACTGAAAGGTTGGCTCTTGTACCCACCCAAACCCACCCAGTGGCTCCTGTAAAGACCTGGCTTCTGTAAAGGTTACAGCCTAGAAAACCCTATAGGGGAATTCTACTCTGTCACATGGGGTTGCTATGAGTCAGCAACCTGTAAGTATATGAAGTCCTTATCTTTGAGGACATTCACCACCACCACCTTGACAGCCCCCCTTCCCCATTCTAGTAGCACCTCTGAGCCCTTGGGTTCGGGGTCAGAGTCATTTTTATCTCTTTGCCCCAGTTTTGCTATCTTAGAAGGAGATAATAATTAGAACTTGCCTATTTTCTATCAGGACTGCTGGATATAGAGTCTCCAGAGTCTTGTGAAACCTAAGGAACAAATTAGGGAAGCACCATAGCTAATAATAGGAGTCCCTGGGTGGCGCAAATGGTTAAGTTATTGACTAGCTGAAAGGTTGGCAGTTCAAACCCACCCAGAGGTGCTTCGAAAGACAGGTCTGGTGATCTGCTTCTGAAATGTCACAGTCTTGAAAAACTATGGAGCAGTTCTACTCTGCGCACACGTGGTCACCATGAGGGCAAACCCCATATTGCCATTGAGTTGATTCCGACTCTTAGCCACCTAATAAGACAGAGTAGAACTGCCCCATAGGGTTTCCAAGGAGTGGCTGGTGGATTTGAACTGCCAACCTTTTGGTTAGCAGCCGAGCTCTTAACCACTGCGCCACTAGGGCAACAGCATAGCTAATAATAATTACTGACATAATAATTAATACCATAACTAATAATAATTGTTGTTTGTTGCTGTTGAGTCTGCTCTCCTGCATGGTGACCGCCCCCCCCATGTACATGTATAACAGGACAAAACGTTGCCCAGTAAAAACAACTTACCAATAGGTAATTATTACTGATATGTCAGTAATCATAATTACTGACATTTATTGAATACATGCCATGTGCCAGGAATCATTCTAACCTCTTTATCACATCAAATCCTATTAACAAACCTATTTACTGATGAAAAAACTGAGGTACAGTTAAGTAACATGTTTTGGGAGCACATCAGCCTTGCAGCCCACTTACATCATAGCTTGTTTTCTCAGCCTGTATGGGCAGATGGTCCTATTTAATATTTTGCAACTGACATCAGGTTCTGGAAGCTACTAGATCACTAGAAAGTAATTCTGCTATAATCTAAAGAGCAAAACATAGTGTATGATTGATGATGATGTATGTCAGAATTAAAGGGCCACTGCCCGATTCAGTCTCCATTATCCATAAAGAGAAGGGGGCTTCTTTTTCTTCACTGTATTTTTTTCCCAGAAGAATTGTCTGCACTGTCCAGTATGGTAGCCACTAGTCATTTAGGCACTGGAGATGTGATTAGTTCCTACTGAGATGTGCAGCAAGTGTAAGTAAATACACGTTGAATTCCAAAGATTTAGTATGAAAAAACCAAAATATTTCATTAATATTTTTATATCGATTTACATGTTAAAATGATAATATTTTAGATATATTGGGTTAAATAAAAGAGATTAAAATTAATTTTATCTGCTTTTATTTTTTAAAATGTGGCTACTAGGAAATTTAAAATAACAGATGTGGCTCATAGTATATTCTATTGGACAGCACTGGTCCAGAAAACCAAGAATCTGATTCCTGAGATCACAATTTGAGATGAAGACAAGCCCAGAAAAAACGCCATTTATCACTTTACCCTTGAAATAGCTAGGTAGGGAAAGAGGAGGGTTTTGCAGAGTTAGTACAGTATCATAGATGGAGCAGAAGTCTGAAGAAGGTCCAAAACTAGCACACCAGCTACCCCCAGTGAAACCCTACAAATAGAAACAGGTTTTCATCAGCAGTATACAGCTGAAAATTGCAACTGAATTCATCTACTTAGAGCCCACCCTCAAATGCTGCCCTCGTTAAGAGAGCAAGATATGCTAGAGAACGCAGAAAACTGCACCCTTAATGTCCATGTAACTCTGGCCAGTCACCTAACCTTGTAGAGGGTCAGTTTTCTTATCGGACGAGTGAAGCCAATAATCCAAGCCCTACCAGTCTCACTCAGTCATCTGGGTTGTTGGACATGGAAAGGCTATGCAAGCTCATACTAGCTATACCAAAGTAAGAATTACCTTGCACTTGGAGGGAACATGGGCAAATTGTCAGTGTTTCCTTTAAGATCTGGAAGGCAGCATAAGTGGTACAAAAGAATGAAAACATAAGGAGTTGCCACCACTTTATACCCTACGGAAGTGGGAGCTACGCCATCTCTGATGATTGGTGCTGATATTGTGTAGAACCATGTAAGCAAATAAAGAACTTTGTTTGAAAGTATTGTTACTTCCTTACACATTATTTTTCAGTGAAACATGCCAAAGGCTTATTATTGACTCAGACATTTTCCCCCATCTTCTACCTCCCATCTGCATCACTAGCCTCCTAAATTGCTCTGATAGTCGAGCTAGATCTGGGGTCATGAAAAAATCTTGGGAAAAGTCTCATTGTCTTATCCTAGTGTTTGAACTGAAAAATAAAATCTTGAAAAAGAAAACAACATAAAGCTCTTCTTTACAGAAGAATCTAGCTAATACATGAATGTGGTGCCATGGATCACTTGTGTGTGGCCTTTCTAGCCATGGTCTTGTAACTCCCATCCAAGTGATTGAGTGGGACTGTGCAGATGTGGTAATCGTAGCCTTCCAAAGGGATTGATCAGTTTTGCCATCCTGCTTGAAATGCTCCACCCTAGAGGCAGGGAAAAAGAAGAGCCTACCACCACCAAGGAAGGAGAGACCCAAAGGAGACAGCACAGTGGGCTTCCCACAGAGAAAGAAAGCTGAGTGCCTTTAAGCAGAGACTGAGGGCCAGGGAGAGGTATGCCTGCGAGCACAGCTGGAGAGAGGCTGTCCTGATGGAAGAACTGTATCCAGACTGTTCCAGAACCTGAATTGTAACTGTTACTTGCCTAATAAACCTCATAATTTTGAGTATGGTCTGTGAGTTCTGTGTGGCCATTGCAATGAATTATCGAACCAAGTAGAGAGTGCTGTGGGAGGGATGGTTGGCGTCAGAACTGGTAAAGGTGGCAGAGAGAGGAGGCATGTCTGACCTCTGCCTCATAGGAATCAGCTTTGGGCTGCTGATCTTGGTTCTCCTTTCCCCTGGTGAAGTTAGAGGAGGTGAGATACCACTCCCACACCATTTTTACAATGTAGAAGGAATGATAAAATTAGAAAATCACCATTTTGCAACTCCTAGTGTAATAATTGATTTAGACAAAAATTGTCAATAGACAATAGATAAGTGGTCACTTTGGTGAAGGGTAAGACAGTAGACAATACTGGGGAAGTCAGCACAACTTGTACAAGGAAAGGTCATGGAAGCTCCATGGACATATCCAAACTCCCCGAGGGACCGAATTGCCGGGCGGAGGGCTGTGGGCACCACAGTCTCGGAGAACATC